TATTGTAATTACCATTCATGTATTGCGCTTCAGATTTTCTTCCGTTTTTTGTCTCTTGGTGCGTTACCGGCATGGCGATACTGAGACCTAATGGTCAGTGGAGTGCCTGTAGCCTCACCAGCACTGCTACTATCTGTGACTGTGGCGACCACCATTCAATGTCTCGTCCTCCCCTAACCGTACCCCAACTCTCTCTCTCTCTCAGCTCTCTTTTTATCTGTCTTTTCTTACTCTTTTTTCTTTGTCAGCTTTCCTGGTGGTTATGTGCTTTTTCAAGTAAATAAAAATAAAAAAATAAAAAAAAACTCAGCACCCCGAAGACTACAACTGGTGAAATTTTGATGTTTGCCTTAACTTCTTCTTTAACGTGTCTTGAGTGACTCTTGACAGCTGTTTCGCTACAACGAATTTTCACACCAAGGTTGAACTCAAAGGTTCAAAAGTTCACCTCGAGTGACGGGAACGCGCCCAAACAGGCTGTAAGTAACGTCAGCTGTAGCCTGCAGGCCCTGTGGCCACTGACCAGGTGACCAGGTGACCGGTGTACTCGTGAGCACGTGACCGCTTTCTCAACCGTGATCGATTGGGAATAAGGGCCGAACGCTGCACCGCAGCCTCATCGGACCAAAACCAGTCAACTCAGCGTCCAAGACCTCAGGTCAGTACTAATCTTCTAGAATGGAATACATGAATTCGGAATATTCGGATATTGGTCAAGCTGGTCACCATAACGGATGACTACGAAGCACGTACCAACCAAACATACATAGGTAGATCTATGACACTATGTACATTGTACTTCAGAAGAGTTGCTGAAAGGACTTTCACCCAGGGGTGTTGCTGTATAATAGGGCTTGAAAGTGATGACGTCAAAAACGGCCTGGGAGTAGTAAATTGACATCAGATTTTTATTTTGGATCCACTAAGGTGTGACTTTGCTATTGCCTCAGTATGTGGGTGCATAGCAACCCACTCATGTCGTATGCAGGTGCAACTTTTACTTCGCCACCAGTTGTCACCCCGCCCCCACTAGCCAAATCAGTCAGTTTCACTGGCGACATCACCTTGCTGTGAGTGAGACCGCTTGAAATGTGCTTGGATCCATACAAAAACTGGATCCAGGTGGATCCAGTTTTCGAATTTTTCAAATTGTTGCTATGCCATTGCTATGGAGTGACGTAGCACTTTCAAGCCCTATACTCAAGCTGGGTTACCATGGCTACTGTGGCTGCCATTGCCAAGGGATAAAATAATAGGAAGATCTGTATTTGGATGACGTGCACGATTGTTTGTTTGATAGAGAACTGCGCAACAAGCCTACACGTTCGAGCGGACATTGTTGGGAGTGGAAGAAGAACGTTCTTCGTTACCCACCGCACTGAGTATAATAATCATAACACAATCATATAGCGGGTAACACTAACGGGGAGCAAGTGTGGGGTAGTGGTTATACCTAGATGCACACGTGTGCTAAAAGAACTCTATATGATCATGTCAATGCTGGCAGTAACTCTCTATGATCATGCCAATGCTGGCAGTACAAGAACTCTATGATCATGTCAATGCTGGCAGTACAAGTAGGCTAAATGTCGAAGATCATCATGCATGCCGATGGGAGATCAGGGGGACAGCTATTGAATCAAGTTGAGATGTAGATAACACATGCTATGATGACTGGCTCAACACGCACTGACTGATGTCTTGTGCATAACGTACAGTAGGCTAGACGTTGGACACCTTGCAGGAAAGGCGGCGATTGCCATGAACGATGACGTCATCATAATCATCAAACTCATTCGAGCTCATCGTGCCGCCACCATGGTTAGTGTTATTGACGCGGTGAGAGGAGCCATCGGAATACGCCACGGTGGCGTAGGATCCACGCTTAGCACTGCATCCGTCCACCGCAGTGTCATACACGGGACCAGGAGCACTTGTGCAGTCCACATCAAAGCTGTCCATAGAGCTAGAGGGACTGGCAGCGACCGGAGACGCACTTTCGGTTGCCCCCCGCCTGACATCGCCCTCACCACTGAATGCCGTCACCTTGGTGAATGAGTCTGATGCTGAACTGTCCTTCGCTGATGATCCGCCTCTCTGCGCATTGCCTGTAGACTGTATTTGCTCCACGCATAACACAATATCAGAGAACGTCGGCCGACGGTGCTTATCCTCATTTCTGGAAACAACAACAAAAATACCAGCAGCCATCAAACAAATGTGTTTCACAGGCCACCGCTTCATCCTGAGATTGAGGTCGCGCCACACACAAGCATGCAGACTGTTAAATGCACTAACAAATCACCGTGCCCATCTGGTGATTGTGCCTAAGACCTTACCAGCAATCACTCATCAGTTGATAGACTGAGCGTGGGCAGTTTTCCGGTGCTGGAAGTCGATAACCGCGTCGGACCTTCTGAGCGACCTAGTGCAAGTCACCAAGCAGTGTGGACGTACGAGCAGAGGAAAGGGAGGAAAGAAATTGAAGAGCAGAAAGGTAATAATGAATAGAATTCGTTTCACCAAAAAGACTTGGTGTCTAAATGAACCTCACATGGTCTTTGTGATGCATGGTAGTAATAAAAACTTGTTGGAAATACATTCTTGAGATAAACTACTCTAATTTCAGAAATTTTCGGTGCTCAATATTTTCGGTATGAGGGCAACAGGCTAGGTTAGGTGAACAGAAATTTTCAGTACAGAGAAGCAGTTCCCTATTGGATTATATGTGTTAGTGTTTGTTCGGTGTATTGAAATGTTAGGTATGAAACAGACGCACCGAAAGTACCGAAAATAAAAGTACACCGAAAATTTGTGAAATTACAGTATACATCTGTTATGCCCACAAGTCATATAATTCATTAGTTCATGCATTATTCATTTGGCCTGGGTAGCTACTTGCGCGTCCATGTTTGCCAAAGCTACCCAGGCCCTTTATATTGCGTTGCTCTCTCTTCAGTAAGGTCTCTTCAAATAATCGCTCTCTTCAGTCGAGCTCTCTCATAATGTAGTTGTTGCGTTGCGTCTACCATAATAAATGTTTCCCCCCAGTCGTTCCCGTCGTTCGTTGCGTTGCGTTTGGGAGGATTGAGGCTCCAGAATGTTCAACACATCTGTATTCTGGTCTGGCCTGCTTCGTTCCATAGAAGGCATAGTAGAGAGGTTCATTGACTCCTTTGCTTCATACGAAACGAGTCAATGGCTCAGGCCTGGGTTAGGGTTTTGCGAAGAGCTCATAGATTGGATTTGCTGACACGAATCCAGGCTGTTTGATTCATAAATGGGCCCGAGATCATAGTACCCCAAATATGGATACACCATGTCAAACAAGAATTATGATCTAGTACCACGCATTTGCACCCGTATTTCTGGTGCTGTCTTTCTGTTGCTATTGTTGTTGTGTTGCTATGGCAATCAAGATTGCACCTTGCTCACAAGTCCGACTGAATCTTTTTTTACGCACGACACAATTTGAATTTTGAACATTTTGTTCCGTGTACGAGTAACTGTGTAACAAGTCACTGAGCGTCCCTTACACTATGGCACCACCCTCAAGGATCAAGGCGCAGATGCAGCTCCTAAAGCGGTAGGACGTGAGTAGATCAGACCCACCACCAAGTGGTCAAAGACCAAAAATATCATTCACTGCATCCATGCTTCCTTCTGATAAGACATAAGACGTTCATTAATTTGGCTTAGTACAGACAATGGCTGGGTATTCATGACTTTGCTTTGCCCGATTATGAAGTGTGTTTGGGTGAGAAATACCTCGGATACTTAGCACACAGACCTGTTTCCCATGGGAATATGTCTTATCGGAGTTCCAATGTACCAATCTAAGTCTAAGTCTACCCTTCATAAGAATGATGTAGACCGTATTCAGCTTCTTTGCTTACCTCATCATTCGGCCAGCCTGCGTAGGGCTTGCGTCCCATCGTGAATATCTCGTATAGAACAATACCATAGCTCCACACATCACTCGAGTGACTGTACTGGCGAAAATGTATAGCCTGAAAAGAGAGAGAGAGAGAGAGAGAGAGAGAGAGAGAGAGAGAGAGAGAGAGAGAGAGAGAGAGAGAGAGAGAGAGAGAGAGAGAGAGAGAGAGAGAGAGAGAGAGAGAGAGAGAGAGAGAGACGGAAAACGACGGCAGAGTCAAGCTTTGCATAATTGTGCTCGTCAAAACCAAAAACGACAGACACACAGTCAGGCAGATTGACAGAAAGACATGTCCGCGCATGCATGCGCGCACACACACACACACACACACACACATTCACACACACACACACACACACACACACACACACACACACACACACACACACACACACACACACACACTGGACCTTGGACACGCTGCCATGATCTGGCAATGCGTACCCCATGGGGGGGGGGGGGGGTGAGCAGGTTTGAAGTAGTAAGGGCGATAGTGGGATAGGTCTTGTGGTCTACTGAAACGCCGACTGCAATTGCAAACGATGCGGAAAGACCCGGCTACCTGAGTTTAAAGGGGAAGTTAAGGCAAAAATTGAAAATTAAAATTTCACCAGTTGTAGTACTCGGGGTGCTGAGTCGAATGGTCTTGGTCCGAGAAAGCTGAGACGCTCCCTTCCTACTTGAATCCCAATCGAACTCGCGCACTTTCACCGAAACTGGGTGACTGCGCCCTACGAGATGGGGATTTGTATGCAAAATGTCACTAAAAGCGCCATTTCGTTCTTATAAAAGCACGGATGACCGCGATTGGCCCATATGTTGTAGTCTTTTGGACGCTGAGTCGACTGGTTTTGGTCCGAAAAGGCTGCGATGCAGCGTTCGCCCCTAATTCCCAATCGAACATGGTTGAAGAAGCGGTCACGTGCTCCTGCGTACACCAGTCACCTGGTCACCGTGCCTGCAGGGTACAACTTACAGCCTGTTTTGACCTTTTTTGGGTGCAGTCCTGTTGTAGTGGGTAGCCGAGTAGTCGGATGGAGGCACACACAATAAGACTGTGAAGTAGGTTTCTTGGCTCAATCTGCCTGAAGTTATGGTTACAACTGCTCCGGCTCAATCTGCCAGGAGGGACTCTGAACGGAATATAACTGCTCCGGCTCAATCTGCCTGGAGGGACTCTCTTCTCTGCTATGAGCTAATTCTCTGGTAGAGCAGATAGGGCTTATATAGCATAGACAGCATATACATGGCAAGGGGAGAAAGTAGTAGTGCAAGGAGAAGACGTACAAGGAGATAACGTGAAAGGAATAGGTTGGAGGAAGAATGGACCTAAGTAGCGAGCAACCATTAGGTAACAGGAATGCAATCTAACAGTATGAAGGAAACTAATGTGAATGGCAGGCAGGGTAATTGGGCGTGAAGGTTACTAAGAGGACAGCGGTTGGAAAAGCCATTTGACTGTGTGCGAGCTAGGACATGGATTCTGGGAAGACATCTGGCAGAAGAAGAGAAGCGGAAGATATCTTAGAACTAGTAATCAAAAGAGTTAGTGATGAGGAACGGGCTATAGGAATCAATGTAATGTAGTACAGCATGAATGTGTGCAACATGTATACAGGTCATGCCGTACGGGTCTGCAGGCAGGGTTGTCTAGTAGTCCTACTTCAAAGTATTAAAGTGGTTGCTGGGAGAAGCACTTAGGAGTAACCGGCAGTGTCGCGTGCTAGCATGAATACATGTACGACGTCATACAACGTATGTAGGTTACAAGTAGGGCCAGGGATACTACACCCTCCCTTCCTATTTTTCATCACGTCCTCGTGATGTATACTTAGTATCGGTTAGGCGGCTGAATATGTAGGCGATTTCGTAGGTTGTACGGATGGGCTTGAGCAATAGGAGGAGGAGCAGCTGGTGGAGGGACAACAGCGGGATCAATGTGGACATCAGCATCATAGGATACGGGAGACGGAGGCGGTGCTCGTAGTTGAACATATGGTTTTAGTCGGTTGACGTGGACCACAATAGCAGTGCGAGAGGCGGTATCTTGTTTCCGAATACGTACTGTCACTTCATCAATCACACTTGTAATGATGTACGGACCAGTCCAGAATTTGTGGAACTTCGGTGACGAATGCGTGGGGACAACAGGGGAGTGGAGAAGCACTAGGTCGGATTTCTGAAACCTGGGTGAAGGGCGAGACGTACCATCATACTGTTTCTTCTGCAGGCGGTGGGCAGTGATTCCATGTTGACGAGCACGCGTAAAAGCATTCGTGGTAATGGTGTGTCGGGACTGAACATACTCATGATAGGAGGACGGTGGAGTATCACGGGGTCGACCATAGACCAAGTCGAGTGGGAGAACAGCTTCATGTCCGAATTGGATGAGGAACGGAGTGTAACCTGTTGATGCATGAACACTGGTGCGATAAGCTAACGCTGTATGTTGGAGGTGGAGGTCCCAGTCGCGGTGGTCGGAGATAGATGTGGCAATCATGGCTTCGAGTGTGCGGTTGAATCTTTCCACCATGCCATCACTTTGAGGGTGGTATGCAGTGGTTCGAGTTTTGGTAACATCCATCATGCGACACAGATCTTTAACCCTTTACTGTCCGTACATACAAGCATCGATCCAATGGGATCGATGGGGTAGGCATTTTGAAATTATCGTAACTTGCTCAAATCTAGGTCTTTTGGAGAGACCGAAATATGTAGGTCGAAGAGAAAAGTCTCAGCTGTCGCCTCGAACAATTCCCGAAGCGATACGAAGAGCGGTTGCTGAGTTATCGCACTCGTAATTCTGGTCCCGGGAAATGTGCGTTCAGAGCGCGACGCGCATGTCGACGGCTGGGATTTTCCCTGTTTACGTCACCTGTTGGCAAGGCTACACCGATTCAAATTCAAAAGTAGGTTCCCGGGAGTCTCTACGAAAATATTTGAGCTCGATACGAGCAACAGGGATGACATGGTTGATTGAGATCGATCTCGAGCGTGAGCTCAGCGCTTTTGCGCGTTCCCTGGCTTGCAGCGCTGGACCAGTGCATCCTGTGGCGCCGAGTGTGGGCTCAATGCGTTCGTCTCGTCAAGACCTTTCCAGGATGCCCAAGATCGTGGAAATCGTCAAATTCAAACCAAAGTTATGTCTAATTTTAGTTTCAGATTTTGTGGTTGCGTGGGCTTGTATACATTTTAATCGGACAGTAAAGGGTTAAACAGATTGCTCTCGAATTGTGGACCTTGATCGGAATGCAGGGCAGCAGGGGCACCGTAGCGACATATCCAACCGTCAAAGAGTAATCGAGCAACGGTGGATGCAAGCATGTTTGGCATAGGAAAAATTTCCACCCACTTGGAAAAGTAATCCATGATAACTAAGACATACCGGTTGCCACGATCCGTAATTGGAAGCGGACCCATGATGTCTATAGCGATGCGCTGGTTGGGATAGGATGACGGCTGAGAGTGCATGGGCGCTTTGGGCTTGCGGTGGGGACCTTTCCGTTTTTGACAGTCTGGGCAGGCACGAATCCAGCGCTCAATATCGGATGTCATATGAGGCCAATAGAAACGGTGACGAGCTCTGTCCACAGTGCGACTGATACCTAAATGGTCTGAGCCCACGGCGTTGTGGAGGGCTTCCATGACTGTTAAGCGTTGTGAGGCGGGGACGAGTAGTTGGACATTGGACGTGGCTCCATCACTGGACTCATACCGTCTGTAGAGTAGATCATTGATGATGAGTAGACGACCAAATTGTGACCATAGATGATGTAAGTCAGGACTAGCTGTAGCGAGTTCGGGGGATCCTTTGGCGGGACGTTCCTTTGCAGTTACCCAGGTAATGACTTTGGCGATGGTGGGATCAGCTCGTTGATCATCACGTAATACAGAGTTGTTGTTGTTGTTAGGCAGCCAGGATTGGGACTGTACTGTAGTCGACATCGGCGGAGAGACAACTGTGGGTGCTCCTGTTGACAGAGAGACACCGCATGTACGCACAGCAGCAGGCGGCGGGACACACATGCACTTACGAGACGAGGACAACACACATGCACATATCCTGGACAAGCCATCAGCATTTGTGTGCTGCGAACCAGGTCGGTGCTGGACGTCATAGTCGAAAGCCGAGAGACGTTCAACCCAACGGGCGACGATGCCATCAGGGTTCTTGAAGGATGACAACCACAGCAAGGCTTTATGGTCGGTTCGAAGCAGGAACTTGGCACCAAGTAGGTAGTGACGGAAGTAGTGTGTAAACTCAACCACTGCGAGTAACTCACGTTTAGTAGTAGTGTAGTTACGCTGACCTGACGATAATGTCTTGCTGGCATAGGCAATGGGGTGTTCTGCACCATCAGGGTCGATTTGCGAAAGGACACCGCCAATGGCATGATCACTAGCGTCTGTATCCAGAATGAAGGGCTTACTGGCATCAGGATAGACAAGGACGGGTGCTGAGATGAGGTGTTGGCGGAGTTGATCGAAGGCAGTCTGTGCCGCGGGTGGCCAGGAGAACGTTGAGTGTTTCTTTGTCAGCGCATGCAGAGGCGTCGCAATTTTAGCGAAGTCTTGGATGAATCTCCTGTAGTAGGATGCAAAACCGAGGAACTGGCGTACCCCGGTGATGGAGGTAGGTTGCTTCCAGGTAGCGACAGCATTGATTTTGGCGAGATCAGGTCGAACACCATCAGCCGAGAACACATGGCCAAGATATCCAACAGATGATTTGACTAGAGAGCATTTAGACGGCTTGGCCTTGAGGTGGGCATCACGGAGACGGTTGAGAACCAAGCGTAATCGCTCGAGGTGTTCCTCGAACGTCCTGGAGAAAACTATGATATCATCCAAATATACAAGGCAAATAGACGGGACAAGATCACCGAGAACAGTATTCATCAGGCGCTGGAAAGTAGCAGGCGCATTGCAAAGACCAAAGGGCATGCATGTCCACTCGTAAAAGCCAAAGGGCGTTACAAAGGCAGACTTACGCCGTGCAGACTTATCCATACCAACCTGCCAATAACCTGACGCAAGATCAATGGTTGTGAAGTAACGAGCGCCGGTCATGGCATCAATGGCATCGTCGATCCGCGGCATAGGAAACGCATCTTTCACTGTAACATTGTTTAGCTTACGGTAGTCAACACATAGGCGGATGGATTTGTCCGCCTTTCGAACAACTACAATTGGTGCAGACCACGGACTGGTAGACGGACGAATAATGTCATGGTCGCGCAGCTTATCAATGTGTTCACGAACCTCTTGTTGCTGGTGGATGGGAAGGCGCCGCGGGGCTAGTCGGACAGGAGCTGATCCGGCAGTATCGATGGTGTGTGTGTAAACATCAGTATGGCCAGTGTCGAATGGGCCGTTGGAAACGCAGTCAGCATACTCACTCAGCAGGTTTTTAACGGAACTGCACTCAGTGTTATCCAGGTGGCTGAGGTCGAACAGTGGAGTTGGCGGAGTTGGTTGATCGTCGGCAAGGGTAGTAGCGGCGCAGGTCTGAGGGGAATCCAGGTCGTCGACAGGCACACATGGCGTAACGGAGCCAATGCGCAGACCCAGAGGAAGAGTGATCGGCTCGCTGGAGAAGTTGAAAACAGGGTAAGCGATAGTAGCAGGAGATCCGTCAGACACGGCCGGCAGCTGGATGGCAGCATCCTGACATAGGAGATCATATCGTTCAGGCAACTTACCCGATGCCTCTAAGAGAAAGGCCCCCGGACCTGGAGAGAATTGGAGCTTGCCAGGCAGGAGTACCTGGCTGAGCGGTGGTATAGCGACGAGCTGGGCGAGTTGGACATGACATACTCGAGTTCCTCCTGCATTTACATCGTAGGGCTCAGCAGGAGGTGGAGAGATGGAGGGAAACTGGAGAGAATTATCAGCGGGATTGAGGATGCAGCCATGCGTTCGAAGAAAATCAATCCCCAGCAAAACATCAGGCTGAACATCCCCCACGAGAACATTATGAGGCAGGTGACGACCATCAATATCGAATGACAAACATGTAGATCCATGCACACAGACAGATGACCCATCAACCGTAACAAGATCCGGTAAAGTGTCTTTTTGCAAAGGTGTATGCGTAGGTATACGTGACCAAGCATTCGTACTGACTAAGGTAACCGCAGATCCGGTATCTAGGAGGGCATTAAATGGAATGGACTGAATGGTGATCGGGACTGTGAAGGGACGGCGTGCTGAGGAGCGTGAAAGGAATGTAGTAACTCGGGATTTGAGAACATTAAATGGCGGTGTCAGGTACAGGAGATAGATAACCGCAAGAATCAGGACCAACACACATCCCAACATAGCTAGACGGCGGACAACATCCAAAGCAGGGGAAAGCCCAAGTAGAACGAGAAAGAGGATGAGCAGATAAGCTCCTAAAGGTAAACTAACCGGATGGTGAGTCCATAGCAAAGTATTCACAGCCGACGGACTCAGCACCGCTGTGAACGCTGGTTTCCCTGCCATTGCCACATTGGCGCGGTTGGCGGCACTCAGAGGCAAAGTGGCCCATGCGTCCACAATTGTAACAGTTGCCTCGTTTCCTCGGAGTACCGTGTTGAGATGTGCGCCGTGGTTGATCCGGTGTGGCGGCGTCCGCTCGTTCCAGGCGGGCCAGTCGGGCGCCGATGTCCTCGAGCGCTTTGGCGATATGATCCATCTGTTTAGCGTCCGACAGGCCACAGACGGGAAGCGGGGTAGACTCCGGTGCTTCGGCATGCATTATGGCCTGTTGGTGTAGTGCTCCCTGAAGTGCGGCATCCAAAGTAGCAGGGTGCAGTTCCTTTACCCGGATGCGGGTTGCCCGGGAGTCTAGGCCGTCTAAAAACTGATCCCGGGCGAGCAGGTCCCTATCGGCCCCAGCCATGTTCGGGTATGCGCGACTGGTGGTCGACCTTACTTCCTCGCAGAAGGCACTCAATGTTTGGCCCTTTCCTTGGCGGCTGGCTTTCAGCGCTGCGCGGTGCAGCTCCGCGCGCTGTGCAGGGGCAAACCGGTCGGCGAGAGCTTGGGCGAGCGGAGCAATTTGGCCCGCACGAACCGCCTGCGGTAGACTTTGGTAATATAATTGTGCGTCGCCCGTAAGCGACAGGCCTAGAAACTGGCTCTGCTCCGCCGGTGTCCACTGGTTGACCGCGGAAACCTGCTGGAACTGGGCATACCAGGCTGCCCAGTTATCTTCCAGGCGACCTGCATACTTCGCCGGTGTGGCCCAATTATGCACGTGGCGTGCGGGAACGGGTGCTGGAGCGGCGGCGGCGGCAGGTGCAGCGGCGGGTTGAGCCATAGTCGGAGCAGGATGAATAAGTGGAAAAGTGAACTATCGATGGGTTCAAATCTAAATAAACTGTTACTTTAAACCACCGCTGCCACCAGTGTAGTGGGTAGCCGAGTAGTCGGATGGAGGCACACACAATAAGACTGTGAAGTAGGTTTCTTGGCTCAATCTGCCTGAAGTTATGGTTACAACTGCTCCGGCTCAATCTGCCAGGAGGGACTCTGAACGGAATATAACTGCTCCGGCTCAATCTGCCTGGAGGGACTCTCTTCTCTGCTATGAGCTAATTCTCTGGTAGAGCAGATAGGGCTTATATAGCATAGACAGCATATACATGGCAAGGGGAGAAAGTAGTAGTGCAAGGAGAAGACGTACAAGGAGATAACGTGAAAGGAATAGGTTGGAGGAAGAATGGACCTAAGTAGCGAGCAACCATTAGGTAACAGGAATGCAATCTAACAGTATGAAGGAAACTAATGTGAATGGCAGGCAGGGTAATTGGGCGTGAAGGTTACTAAGAGGACAGCGGTTGGAAAAGCCATTTGACTGTGTGCGAGCTAGGACATGGATTCTGGGAAGACATCTGGCAGAAGAAGAGAAGCGGAAGATATCTTAGAACTAGTAATCAAAAGAGTTAGTGATGAGGAACGGGCTATAGGAATCAATGTAATGTAGTACAGCATGAATGTGTGCAACATGTATACAGGTCATGCCGTACGGGTCTGCAGGCAGGGTTGTCTAGTAGTCCTACTTCAAAGTATTAAAGTGGTTGCTGGGAGAAGCACTTAGGAGTAACCGGCAGTGTCGCGTGCTAGCATGAATACATGTACGACGTCATACAACGTATGTAGGTTACAAGTAGGGCCAGGGATACTACACTGTCACTCGAGTTGAACCTTGGTGTGAAAGTTGTCGCCCGCTGGCGTGGTGACCAGGTGATTTTGGCACCCAGGAGCACGTGACCGCTTCTTCAACCATGTTCGATTGGGAATAAAGGAGGAACGCTGCATCGCAGCCTTTTCGGACCAAAACCAGTCGACTCAGCGTCCAAAAGACTACAACATATGGGCCAATCGCGGTCATCCGTGCTTTTATAAGAACGAAATGGCGCTTTTAGTGACATTTTGCATACAAATCCCCATCTCGTAGGTCGCAGTCACCCAGTTTCGGTGGAAGTGCGCGAGTTCGATTGGGATTCAAGTAGGAAGGGAGCGTCTCAGCTTTCTCGGACCAAGACCATTCGACTCAGCACCCCGAAGACTACAACTGGTGAAATTTTAATTTTTAATTTTTGCCTTAACTTCCCCTTTAAGCATGCATGTGTACCATACGCCTGTAGGGAGTAGTTCAAGTTGCTTGCCATCCCTCTGCTCTCCCTCCCCGTGCAGTTCAGTAAACCGCACGTAGTATCACAGATACATCGTATTCTCTCTCTCCCCCCGTTTACCCGCAGTTATTAGTATCCTATTCTCTTACTATGTGCTTCCATAGCTTTTACTATGTTCTTCCATAGCCACTTCTAGGCTAAGCCTTCGCCGTCATTTTATTGGGTCGTCATCCCGTTTGAATGTGCGAAGTGAAATAAAAAACCAACCAACCAACCAGCAGCCCATCAACATCTAGCATGCTTATTACTACATGTACTCACTGTAATAAAAAATAAAAAGAACAAATCGAGTCGACGGGTTCGCGTACCGGGCAGGTCAAGAACAAGGAGTCGTACAACTCCCTGGTCAAGAACCACCTTTCCGCTTCCGTGGAACGCCACCACCCCAGGCGTCAGATGCGGCTCCTAAACGGTGGGGGAGGATTGATCAGATCCACCAACTAGAGGCCAAAGGCCTAAATCCCATTTGCCACATCCATGTTTTACTCATGCCAGGCCACGAGTTCCCAATTAACTGTGGGTCGCAGCACGGTTGGAAAAATCCTTCCGCTTCCAAGCAGGACTTGAACCTGGTACCTCTCGTTTCTCAATCATGGTCTTAGACCAACCCACTGTGCCTGCCTGCCACTCACTGTAATAACATACCCGTAATTGCTAAGCAATTCATTCTGAGCTCTGCTCAGGAAAACTAACAAATTTTAAACATGAAACTCGGATGTCGAGCTAATATAGGTATCCTTTCTAGATTTGAAACAGCTGGCTTTCAAATTGACTAGTTGTACAATTTGATAGGCTGAAGTTTTCCTTGAAAACACAAGTCATGTATGGGAGTTCAGATCTAAATGACAATTGTTTAAATGACAATTGTTTACAATAGTAGCTCTCACTTACTGCTCCAAAACGTTAATGTCTCGCCTGGCTAATTTGTTATCTCTTTTCACTTCTCACGATCAAGCCTCTTCATAATTGTTGGTTTTTACACAAGAGGTGCACAAAGGAAAGTAGGCCTCTTTTGTTGTAACTCAGAGTTTCATGGTAACGACCAATCATCATACAACAGTGAAGGAGATTGGAATCAACGCAGCCGGGTATTTGAAGCCAAGCTGAGGAGACAGGAGCCAAGCGATGACCCCCGGGCAGACACTATGACTGCTTTTGTAGTGTTGACAATCAACACCTCACAGAGGTGAGCTCTGACGGGCTAAAACCAACACCTCAATGTGCTGGGTGCATAGGGTGAATATTGAACACCGTGCATGAATGGATACTAGAGCATGTCAACTAGAATATGGATTATGCGGATAACGTAATAAGGGTGGATGGGAGAGGAACGAACATTATAGGTGTGAACTAAATTTCTTACTTGACACTAAGAGCAAGTGAAATTAATTTCCATGCGACCAGGACTACAATGAAATAACAATAGCTGGATAGAAAATGTAGAAAAATGTTGTAAACACATGCCCATCATGGATGCTAGCGCAGATATGTGCACATACAATGTAGGAGAAATGGAGGAAACAAGTAGAATATACCAAAAACGATTGAGAACACAGGAGAAAGAAGGAAGGGTAGCCATGACAAGAAATAAAAGCAGAAAGAGGGTAGACATAAAATGAGAATGGAAACAGCTTACAGAAAAAGGAAAATAGATATGAAGAACTGTAGCACGTGGAGGGAAAACGGAAGACAAGAAATAACAGCATGTCCAGTCGGGCAATTCCACCATACAGCGTGGTGTACAGGGCAGCAGCATGAAAGCCGTCAGCTGTGATAGAGTCTGGAACACCACTTGCCAGCGAATTCTGACGGCACAGTGCAGCTCCTTGCACCAAAAACCAAACGCAATACTGTTTCACATCACCTGATGAACTTGATTCCACTGTGCAGCATTTCAGCAGCAAAGCACAGCTTGCCGGCAGGAACTGAAATCGTCTGACTCTGTCCAGATCTCTTGTGAATTCCTGTCAGTGTGTGCTGATCCGAATCCAGACGGAGTGTAATGATATCACGTGCTTCCCAAGGTTGTCCAACCTTGGTGTTGTCCCCAATGGAAAATTTTGCATTATGGTCGGAAGAAAACCACCCTAAGAACTTCTTGTCCTTTGTAACAGGCATTCTCTTCTTGCAAGTCTCCTTGGCCAGTCCTAGGAACAGTCCTCGACCGCGTGCTTTGATTTGAATGGTGCATTCCACAACGCCATGGCAGTAGCTTCCTAGAGTAGTGATGGTTATCCAGTCATCACTGTTATCATCATTGCACAACAACTCGTGGCCATTATCAGTAACTGTGAAAGCTGTAGTGTCACAGGAAAACACATCAACTTTAGGGTATGCACGTCCTTGTTTCTTCCTTTGTTCTGCTCCATCCGAGTTGGACGAATTAAACAATTCTCCTAGGATGGAAACATGGGCGCTCTCATCGTCAGCAAATCCATGATAGGATACTTGCAAGCCATATTCTGTATCTGGCAGAATATCAGACTCCTTGGATGAGTCATTGCTTGCATCTTCAACACCTTTGATAGCTGGGTCTAGAATCCTCTCTGCTGCTAGTAGGCATCTGTTGCCAAGGTTACGCACTAGATGTTCACAGCTATCCAGCTGATAACTCTTTGTGTCGACGATCTCTGATTGCTTCTCCAATCGATGCAGTGCTTTCCAACGGGCAGCATCTAGGTTGTCCAAGACCTTTTGCTGTCGCTTCCGTAAGTTCTTGATGTGCTCTTCAAAGTCAGCATTGATCTTCTCTGATAATTCCTCCACTTCATCATTGATCTCTTCAGTGTATTCATCAATGGTGACCCGTGTGTTGCTGAGTTTCTCCCTCCAGGCATCACTGCAAGCACTTAGTCGTGCCTTCCAGTCTTCCCGCTTTCTCTCTGCTGCAGTGTGAATGTCCTCCACGTTTTTGGTGCAGTTCGCGTGAATTCGTACACAACACTGTTCACATGTCAGCATCGTACACTTGGTGCAGTAAGACTTCACAGTGTGCTGCTGGTGAATTTGACATTTGAATTCTGTGGGCACGTTCTTTGCGCCGGCAGACGTTGAAACAATTGGTACAATGCGGTGTCCATGAGCTGCGGCTTTGCGCTTCGAATGAAGTTTTTCATGATCGCCACACATGTGCACTCCACAGTCGACACACAACGAAACAGCTGGGACAAGCTCTCCTTCGCAATCTGCATTCTGGCACATTGGCTGCACCTCCGCCTCAGGTATTTCATTACTACTCTCAGCCTGCCCATCGGCATCCGTCTCTGACATTTCATTACTACTCTCTACCTCTTCACTAGATGTACTACTCTCAAGCTTCTCCGTTTCTGTCAATTCATTGGAACTCAGCACCTCCCCTGAACAACTGATCTCATTGGTGCTATTTGAGGTTTGTAGTCGTCGGTCAGTCTTTGGCCAATCAACCAGAGATTCCTCTAGGCGGAGCCCAGGAGGAGCTGAGCCACCAACTTGCAAACAATTGAAACAAGATACCGTACCGTCTTTGCTAACATTGTCCTTGAGGCAGGGAACGCACATCGTATGCAGGCAGTTCAGAATTTTCAGACTGCTGTAAGCGTCTGGCACATTTTGGCACGCAACGCAAGAGCGCTCGATGGATGGCTGCTTTCCCAGTCCAACACCCGCATGTGAGGAATCGGAGAGGTCACTCGTCGACATCTTGCCAAGACAATCTACATGTACCTGGATCCCAGTCTGAAACTCAAAAGACAAAACGGAATAGTGCTACTGGACGGTACTTGTACCGTATGCCATCCAATGATCAACTCGTATCGCTCCCGTTTCAAAACGTTTGGCTGAAACCAGACATATCAGTACTGAACAGTGCATGCAGTGCATCTGAATGACAAATTTGTGCTCAGTGGATCTAGTGCTATGTAGTTTTTTTGTGGCAGACCAGCAATCACTCTGATCCGCTGCTGCGCATCGCGGGCCGGCCCTCCGCCACTAGTACTAGTAGTAGTACAATGTCCATGCGCATGCGTACAGGAACCGAAGAAAAGAACCCAGACTAGCATCCGTAAAATGTACGGATACATGTCATAATACTACTAGTACTAGTACTATAGTTGTTCTACCCGGAGTAGACTACGAGGAGCGGGTTCGGGCAGTCGAACATGCGTCGTTCGCCCTGGTAGTCATGACGCCGTGAGGTGGTTTTCGGGCGTTCAGCAACCAGCCTGTACAAGAGCATCGCTGCTGGCTGACAAGCGTAATGAACTGTATGTTTGTTTGTTTGTTTGTATACTTTATTTGAATTCGCTAATCCAAACGAGCACAAATGCTCAATGACAAGGCAGCGAATATGTTATTATGTTACAGGGAAGGAGGGTTGGGGAGAAGATAAGGAGAAAAAAGAGAGAATGACAGATATCTTAATGAAGAGCGAAGCGTGATCAAAACTACAAGTAAGCCAGCGAACGAC